ACCGGGGACAGAATGTACTCACGGCCCAACGACCCACCGCCTCCTCCTCCGCCTGTTCACCCACTGGGAGAGATCAAGCCTCCCTCAGTGATCAGGTGGGACAGGAGACAAACACACACACAGAAAAAACACACACAAATCCATAAAGCAGATTCATCATAATGCAAAATATTTACATAATTATATCAGTTGCCAACTATGCAGCAAGATTAGTAGTGTAATCTCAGAACAAATGCTGCTTTTGTAGTTATATTTAAAACATTTATATTTTTTATTTTAAATATGAGTCACCCAACATACAGCTGTGGCTGTACTGACGTAAACAGAGCAGGGCCTCCACTAACAGGTCGGACAGTAGTTAAATGCCAATGTGTCTCTGGGCATGGCACAGGTATCCACAGGTTGGTCCTGATGGCTCTGATGGTGGACAAAGAAATAATAAAACAGAAACATAAGCTTGGCCACTGACGACTTCAGATTAGGATGGAATCAATGAAAAATACCCTCCTAAGGGATTAATTAGCCAACACTTAAATTGATTGACAGCCCTGATACAAATATATTTGGTTGTAAATAGATGAGTTGTTGAGAACATTGAAGGGTTGAAGGGTGTAAATACAGCTGATGTTCCATCACACTACCATCATATCATTAGTTTTTTTTGTTTTTTTGTTAAATCACTTGTACGTAGTTGGGATTTAAATGTAGCTGGACCAACGTAAACACAGGGACGAAGGGATGATGGATTGTTTTCCGGATGAATAGACTGAACTTTTGTCTACCAAAGATGAAAGAAACAGAAACGTCTCAGAGAACGGCTGGATCGATACTCTGTTAAGGCCACTGAGCGAATTTCGGGGTTTTTTGGGGTTTTTTTCGGTTCTGCACTTTGGCTGCATATGTCACCGTTTGAAGGAATGAAGAGATCAGACGGGATGATTAAGACTGCGGCTGCAGCACCTCAGAAACATCATTGATCTTTTTTTCCACAGTACTCCTTGCAGCGTTTTCTCACAAATTCTGCCCATCCCCCTTTTTTATCCTTTCTTTTACCTTCAATTAGTTTTCTGATTCTCAAGGCATGCTTCCATAGTTGGTCTTTTATCATTTTTGCTCTCCTTTCAATCCTCTTCACCATGAATGAAGCTCATACCAGAGATATTTACTCACATGCAGCCTCAAGTATGCTTTGGCGGAAATACTCAACACATTATTTTTCTCTCTCCTCTCTTTTGCTGTGTTTTTTTGTCTGCAGCAATTTTCTCTGTGGGAAGAAAATTGATTGTGAACATGTCACTCATTGTGTTCCGGTGTCCTGGTTAGTAGCTCGATCCACCCACACAGCTCCAGCAACTGCGAGCAGCCATTACTAATAACATTCAGTCTTTAATGTAGGAGTTTAATCTAGTCGCTTTGGAGTTTTCTGTCCACACCAATTATATGTGATGTTCGTCAGCCTTTTACTTGGCATAACGACAATAAGGAAGAATATATGGTGTTCAAGGATTTTCAGTAGGGTACAGTGATTTTTATCACCTATCGTGGCCTACTACCTAATGTTAGAGCTGTCAATCAATTTAAAAATTCTAATCATGATTAATCAGTATTGTCATTTATAACAGTGAATGTCAATGTAGACAAAACAGCAGTTGGTCTGGATGAGGTCATGTAATATGTCCCCTTAATGAGAGGACATGAAGAGAAAATGGAATGGAAAGGACAGGGTACACCATAGAAATCCCCCCAGCGGAGATAGCCTCAATTTAAATTGAGCTAATCCTGTTAGCTATTTATATTTAATCTTTAATCTGTGATTTGACCATATCCTTTGTTAATTAGAGTGTCTCTGTTGTTTATGTTGGTTCCCATGTTCATTTTGTGGAACATAATAATAATAATAATAATAATGGCGTTTTATCTGTTTTGCCGTGTGGATTAATGAATTATTTACATTTATAATTTGGAGAATTCTTGTCAATAAACTGCCATCCCTATAGCTAAGGCTCATATTTTTGACTTAAAGAATTTAGCTTAGGACCTTACATTGAACCTTGTTGCTCACAAAATAATAATAGTGTTGTTTCATTTAGTATGGGGGGAAAAAGTTTCTTAGCTCTCCCTTTCTCTGCTTCTCTCTCTCTCCAGCTCCAGTTCTGGTTTTTCCGACAGCAGACCTCAGTCTCCTGCCCGGACAGCAGGCCTCAACTCCAATACACCTCCTCCTCCACCTCCTCCTCTGCCCCCTCCACCCCCCCCTTTACCCTCCTCAGGGCTGCGGGGCACTCCCCCTCCTCCCATTCCACCTCTGCCAGTCCAGCAGCAGCCACAGGCCATCCCACCTCCTCCTGCTCCACTTCAAATCGCTCCAGGCGTGCTCCATCCGGCTCCTCCGCCCGTGGCGCCTCCACTCCACTCCTCTCCGGCACGTCTCCAGCAGGTTATGGACAAAGGCTCATCCATGGGCTCTGGGACACAGTCAGATGGCTCCATCCTGCCTCCACCCCCTCCGCCTCCGCCTCTGCCTCTACCCGGGGCAAGGAGCTCCTCCCCATGTCCCTCAGGCCCACCACCTGTGCCGGCCTTCCCCTCAGCAGCAGCCATGGCCTCGTCATCACCGCACACTGTCCACGATGTGGGGACCAAGAGGCACCATCCAGCAAATCTGCCGCCTATCAGCGATGCACGCAGTGTTCTGTTGGAGGCCATCAGAAAAGGTAGAACATGAAGTGGTGACAGAGAAGAAGAGTCAGAAACACGAGCATGACGTAGAGCAGCAGTTCCAACACTTTTTTTTACAGTAATTTACGTATTTTAGTACCATACAACTGTCACTTTTACAAACAAAAAATGAGCAATGCAAAATATATACAGTATATATACTGCACCACCGTGTTACACATGAAAGTAGTTAAATGTCCCACTAGGCCAGTTTACTCTTAATCTGTCAGATTTGACCAGAGCTCTTTGTCTCCTGCAGGCATACAACTGCGAAAAGTGGAGGAGCAGCGAGAGCAAGAGGCCAAGCATGAGCGGGTCGGTAACGACGTTGCTACCATCCTTTCACGCCGCATCGCCGTGGAGTACTCTGACTCTGAGGACGAGTCTGAGTTTGATGAAGGGGACTGGATGGAGTGAAGGGAAACACTGTGGACAGCAGAGGAGACAAGTGATCAGGTGGCCCCTTCTCAAAACAACTTCTCCTTCTCCAGGAGAGAATCCTAGTCGTACTTCCTTCATGGAGATGTTTTTTTTTTTTAATTTATCATATCTCTGGTTTGTTTGTGATTTGTGTCTGGAGGACAGGCTCTAAATCTAGTATTTCCCATGTTCCAAGACCAGTAATTTTTGTATTCATTCTTTTCTGCACTACCACAGGACCTTGTTTATCTGGAGTTCTTCTGATGAAAGCCTCCATGTTTACTATAACTACATGATAACTTTTTGTTTTTGGTGGGGGTAAAAACAAACACTTGATTTTTGTTGTTTAACTGTTCATTGAGGAAAAACATGTTAAAAAATAAAAAAAATAAAATAAGAGGTGGGTTGTATCTGCTCCAAGTCCTCAATACATAGTTGCCACCTGGTGGCCGAATTTGGCATTTGATTAATGCCCCTTTAATGTCTTTTATTTAACATTTCCTGCAGAAAGTCTTGCAGTTTTTGAAGGCCAGTAGCTGCGGACATGACCACTACATGAACAGTCACCGAGTGTGGACTGCCTGTTGTTTTCTCTTTCCTCATTAGGACTGACTTAACACTAAGAACAAGCTTAGGTATGGGTTGACGAGTCATTGGATGATTGTGTGAATGAAAGTTTCCCGTCGTCTCCAAGCAACATGTGAAGCCTGTCCAGCCCACGCATCTGCATTTGACCACGACCCCAGGGACAACAATACGCCAAGAGACTGTCCTGAAGAGCCATGAATGGTCACGTTGACATCAGGAAACTTAAAAGATCAACTCTGAGCCATTCGTTTTTAAGATAGGAACTCCAAGATTTCTTCTTAGCCACAGATATGGAGGCGATAGGATGAAGTTGTACGCCTTGTTCACGTGAATATTCACCGTGCTGGGGTAAGATGTTCTACAACTCGGAAAACCTTGTAGCACCGCAAAGGCAGCTTTGGTTTTTCCTCAGATGCCTCTTTTACTGTGGTCCTGCCAACTAACGAGAATCATTGTTAATCCTCGTTCAGTTCCACATCAGCAAACTCTCATAAAACATAAGAAACGTGTGAAATCTGCTTTTGCAGGCCCGACGAAGGACACACCACGCCTTGTTGTAGCTCATTTCAACGTAAATGTCTACCATTTTCTTTTGTCCGTTTGTTTGTTTATTCTTTCTTCTACTTGCCTTATTGTTCGTACAAACGTATCGTTGAGTTAATGAATGTATTGTGCTGTTACTACTTACTTGCCTGCGCTTGTATGGATTTGCTGTTTCTATGTCTTGGGGAGGGAGGGTGAGGGTCAAAGGACAGAGCAACAAAAAATCTCTGGTCCCCAAAAAAAAAAAAGAAAAGGAAAAAGATTTAATCAATACTGTAAAACATGTAACTTATGTAACTGTTTACTGTAACAGTTTGCTTGAAATAATAAAAATCTAATGTTATGTTTCAACTCCGTGTGATTTGAGTTGTTTCTTGATAAGCCGAACATCGAAACACACATTTTAGAAAGCACAAGACAAAGTATCCCCCCATATACTTACTGCCAAAATGTCCCAGTGACAATATATTCTGTGCTGGCTTCAACAGTATCAGACATAGTAACTGTTTTCATCATTCATTCTCGTTTTCAGCTTTCCATTTTCTCCCAGTTCCGTATACTCGAGTTTTGTTTTTATTTTTTTAGCCAATCAAATTTCGGCCTCATGTGTTGCCAGATTGAAAGAAATCAGCCCAACGGCCTTCAAGATCAACTCGGAACCAAAAATTAATGGCAACGAGTTTGTTTCTTTAACCAATCAGATTTTGAGTTGAATCAATCTGGTAAGTCAAAGCGTTCTTGCTGACCCGCATTTACGTAGCGATTTTATTTGATTGGATGGTCAAATAACCTAGCTACCAGACTTAATTTAGCTACTTATTAGTACTCTCGAATATTTACCTTTCTCTGTCCACCGCTTGAGCGGACATTCTCAGCCTAAAGCGATTTAAAACTAAAAAGCCATAAATACTAAAGGACAGTACCGTGGGTGGAGATAGAAAAGGACCTGTTGTTAGAAGTGCAACTCCTGGATAAGGGGAGGAGGGTGGGTTTTGTGTTCAACTAATCAGAAGTGTTTGGTGAGTAAAATGAGTTTTGTCTTTTTAATAATATCGTAATTGTATAATGTTATTAATAATGTTTATCAATGTATATTGTCTCGCAACTGTTTATGAATAGTGCTTTGTGGGTTTGTTGCTTTAGTAATGGCGTTACTATGACATGATGAATACAGGATTTATCTCGGACAGTGCTCACCAACCTTTTTGAAACGTGAGAGCTATTTCAAGGACATACATAGAAATCCGCGACACGCCACAGCTTTTTAATATAGTATTTTAATTAATACTTATTTCTACGGATAAGCACAAATAAAAAAACGAGGTACTGCAATATCTATATTTATAGTATACTCTATAGTGCAAACCAAGTAAATATGTTAAATATATTGTACTTTTATTTATTTATTTTTTCCTTCTGCTTAAATCTGTGTATTTACAGTTCTGTTATTTTCATAAGTGTTTTCCACAGAGACAATGACAAATTCTAAACTTTATAACAAATGAGTAAAAAAAAAAAAAAACTTCTCATATTAATCATTTAGCTTTTGGGCTGCTGTTTTTCTTACGGGGTGCGGCCTTCTGGACCTGGCGGGCTCGAGTGCCCAGTCCAAGAGTCTGCAGAGACTCAGTGATGTAACGCTGGGTGGGAGAGACACACAGCATCACCAATAACTTGGCATCACCACCTTGTGGACGACAGGAGGAAAGACAAAACAAAATATTATAAAGAAGAGACAAGAACATTAATAACCTACGACAAAAAATGTATAACCTACGACGAGTATTAAAGCCACACTTACGATAAAAAAAACAATAATACTGGAATAAAGTCATACATCTATGAGAAAAAAGTAATAACTTTGTAAGAATAAAGCTGTACATTTTTCAATATTAAATATGCAAATTTACTATATGAAAATAGAGTAATACATTTATGAGAATAAAGTCGTATGTTTTTATATTTTAGTCTTAAGTTTAGATGATGTGTTTTTTGAGAGTTGATGGTAGAAAGAATGTGAGCGTTGGCATTTCACCTATGGCATCCTGAAGAACATGAGTCAGTTTACTGTTCCTGTAAGGAATGTGAGGTCTTTGTTCAGCCAGAGCTGAGAGGACGTCAGACAGAGCCGAGAGGCTGCGGTTGATGCAGGACACCTCCCACAGAGCTGCACCACTCACTCCAGACATGCCTTGAACACACAAAGACACAATTTGGCAAACCACAATCCCAGAAAAGTCACAAACTGGTACTCATAACTTGCCCCTAAAGTTGGATCCAAAAACCCTTTTGACACTTAAAAGAGAAGGTGAATTTTACTAGAAATTAATAAAAACTTAATGTTTTTTTATTTATGTTCCCCCTCTATTGTTTCTATAAGGGCAGTAAACATCATATAAATACATAGTGTATATAATTTCTACTGATTTGTCTCTCACTGACCAACACTCTCACTGCCTGCCAGGTCCACCAGCCGAAGCCTGGTCCTGAATGAAGTCTGTGAAATACTGGGCCTGGGAGAGAGACACGGGGACTGCAGGGGTGAGAGGCAGGGAGAGGAGGCGGCACTGCCACAGAGTTTATCAGATGAGCCATGACTAGTGATGTTAGCACGGCGACAGCGTGGACTCCACCACTGCTGCTGGGTGGAGCGCTGCATGTTCCTTTTAGCATTCTGTAGCCTACGGGCTGAAGAGAAGAACAGTGAACAGGTGATGATGTAAGGTGAGGTCATAACAGTGCAGCTATCAAAGTTAATGCACAAGTCTCACCCAGGGCCAGTGCGTTGGGGCTCTTGGAGGATACAGTGAGGGTAACGATGAGGTGAGAGCGGGAAGACTCGGTGTGGACCAGGTTTGGACAGTGAGCCCTGAGTTTCTGGATGTTACTGATGATCAGCATCATCTCGCAGGCGCTATGTATAGGTCTGTCAGACATGTAGAGAAGGAAATTTAATAATGACAAAGCTTGACCTTTTTTATTTGATTTTTAAAGGAAAAACAGATGAGACAGTTTGACAGTCTATTTCAGTTAGTTTTTGACTGAGACTGAAAAAGCAAATTAAAAACTATAACTGAACATTTCAACATGGTACTAACTCAGATGTTAGTGAAGGGACATCACTAATGCCAGAGGATGTGGTGATGATGTCACAGCGCTGACACGTTGGGTTTCCCTGCTCGTCTTTGGCCAGTAGGTCATACACCTCATTGTTGTAAACCTCCATCACTGACACCTCCACAGAGTGGCTGTCCTCAGGTTTCTCAGAGATGAGTCTGGACAAACACAGAACATTGGACAGGTAAAAAAGAACAGTTCATCTGAAGTTAACTTTCTGCTGCAGTATTTTCAACAAAACTGTTTTTAATTGCAAATCCTGTCAGTATAAAGCTGTCACATCTGTCTCACACCTGAAAAGCTCAGCAGCAGCATTGGGAATAATTCCCTGCTGAGTCTCCTGTGGTATTCCAACCTTCTCCCCCTGACAAAAGGATCCCATCATGGTGTGAGTCTTCCCACTGCCTGTCTGTCCATATGCCATTATGCAAACATTATAACTGCAGGAAAGAAAGACGAGACATTCAATTCACAAAACCCATATACTCATTGTTTGCTTGATGGTGTGAAACTGGTTTAAAGTCTGGTTTAAACCACTGACAACGCACCCGTCAAGTAAGGACGTTAGGAGTGGTTTGACTTCTTCAAACACAGCATCCTGGGAATCCTGTGGCACATGAACCCTGGAAATAGACATATAAACAATCACTGTGACAAATCAACAATGTTGTGTAAATATACTACTTGTCAATATTTTACATTTCAAACTCAAAAATCTTGCTCTGCACAGGCATCCCTGACTTCAGGCAATTCACCATCACTGTGTCCTGGAAACAGAACAGATGAAAGGAGTCAATGAGAACACTGCAGTGAGTTGGAGCAGCAGCCTTACCACATCCAGGTACAGAGTCTGTGCAACTCACATCACTGATTGCATGAACCACTTCTTCTGATGATGTAAGCCTGATGGAGATAAGGCCCAGGATGGCATCAGTTTCCATACACAGAGAATTGTCTTCCTCATCCAGAATTAACAATGTTGTATTATGTTGCATTCAACCTTTACTCACCCTGATTCTGAGGTCAGGGACCGAATGTGGTCAAAGGGCAGAACTGGTCGGACCCTGCAGTGGACCCTAATGTTACCTCTCAGCTCCTACAACAGGAGGAAGAGTGGTAGCAATCAGACAAAAAAAGGCCTCATTTTTATTATACATGATCAGAAACTGATCTGCTCTCTCACCACGAGAGTGTTGTGAATTTCTTTTCTTCTTTGCCTCTCTGCCCTGCACTTCTCGGTCTCTTCCTGCAGGGAGTGCTCAAGAGCTGTGATCCGAGTCTTCAAGTCTGGGTATAAAAAAGAAAACCCCACAATTTATAATGCAACAAATGAACGCTTCTTGCACCTCTTCTAGAGCAGCTTTTCTTAAGGGATGCCACCTATTGGTAGGCATGCAGCAAATTAGATTTGACTCCAGGAAAAAAAATACAAAGCTAAAACAAAGGTAGAGTAACCAGCAACAGAACAAGGAAATAAATATCATTTTCCTGTCTTTTTGAGTCACAATACCAAATTCCACTGATTAGTTGCATTTTGTCGCCTCTAGAGGGCACTACTTACCTGACCTATTTATTTTAAAGTCACTGGGCCACTGACTGTCATTAACCCTGAAGCTAAAGGTCATGTTGATGGTGCTAAATTCAACGTCTCTGCTCACTAGCTCACCTTGAATTTCAGTTACATGCTGTTCATTCAGAGAAGCAATCGCTTGCTTTACTTCCTCCAGCAGCTGCTTTCTCTGCTCCTCAAACTCAGTGGCAAACTTCACATAGACAGCAAACACCTCACGCAGGCCCTGCTTCAGAGCCTGTTCACCAACACACACACACAGAAAATAGGTCATATTTGAACCATGGCGTGTCTCTTCTTTGTGTTTTTTTGTGAGGAGACCACAAAGATAGACACATTTAATCTGGTCTCTATCCTACCTGGACCTCAGATAGCTGTTTGGTGAGGACCAACCGCCATTTCTCCTGTGCCAGTCTGTGGTTCTGCTGTTCTTTCTGGGCCTTTGAAGCCTCTTCATGATGATAACGAAGTTTACTTAAGCTCTGAAAGAAGAATTTGAAAGACATAGAGTTTTAACAAGTCAGGAGCAAAATTATACAAGTGTGACCTGGAACAAAGAAGTCAACTTTGAAAAGAATAGATTAAAATGAGTATATAATTACCTCTGCCAGTCTTAAATGAAGAATAGCGTTTTTTGTCTCCAGCTCCAGTATACGCTCTTCTTTACTCTAATAACAGAAAACAGAAAATGCTCATTATATATATATATATAGAGAGAGAGAGAGAGAGAGAGAGTTAAAGAGTTAAATGAAGAGTTTTACCCTCAGCTTGTGCTCCAGCAGATGGACCTGATGAGCAAACATTTGGTTCCGGTTGACAAAAAGAGGCATTTTTATTCCAACATCAGAAAAGTAAAGAAGGTTCCAGAGAAGAGAGAGTTATTTCCATCACCTTCTCAGCCTTACATGGTGTATACTTTCTAGGTCAGGGAATCTGATTAAAGCCCAGCCAATGAGAAATCTGTCAGCTGGTCTCTGCTGACCAGCTTAGGCTGGGGAATAGGTGGCAACTTCTGACCACAGAATACAGCTGACTTTTACAGCTATGGTCAGTATATATAAACAAATATTTAAAAAAAAAAACAAATCAACAATGGAAACTACAGAATACAATAGTATATTGTAGTGAACAGAATGACTGTCTGTCTGTGACCTTTTTTTCCTGAGAGGCAAAAGTGTTTACTATTAAGGTGCAGACCTTAAAGTGGGGTTCCCTGCACACACTCACTGAAAATAAAGATGAATAGATGAATAGAACTGTATTATTGTTCAGGAAACACTAAAATTTGCACATCAGAATAAAATAATAAAGGTTTTATGAGTGTAAGTTGTTTGTAGTAGTGAGTATTTTTTAGTTACCTTTTGTACATGTAATAATATATAATTAAGTTTCGATTGTTTTCAAGACAAAAAGACAAATACGCCAGTCAGAAACAACAACATGCTGTAGTTGTTGGTCTTGGCTACTAGAGGGCAGCAGAGCTTCTGAAAGGACACGCTTAGAGTAAAAGAAGAAGAAAGTACTTCCGCAAAGTCCAAAGTCAGAAGAAGAAAGTACTTCCGCAAAGTCCGGCCACCGGCCACAGTTCAGCCTCTGTTAGAACAATAAGATGCTCAAAATGACCAATGTTAAAGACAAGAGAAAAGAGAAAGTTAGCGTTGCCACTGAGGTGAGATTAACTCCACATGTACTTCACAATTATGTTCAGCTTATTTGAACGGTATTCTTTCATAACCATCACGTGTTTTACAGTATCACTGTTTATGGACACGTATCAAAATATACATTTATTTACTGTAAATTCTATGTTGTAGATTGACCGTTTGGAGGAGCGGCGGAAACGTTGTCAGGACAACCTGGAGAAAGCCGAGTTTAGACTCAGACACGAGCAGATCACTGATAAAGAATGGTAAGGATGAGGTCCATTCATTTGTGCATCGTAAACTACTTTGTACTTCTTAATGTCCACTGTGTAAAATACAGGTAGTATGACTTTTTTGCCATTTTTATCGGAAAAAAAAAATCTTTTTTTTAATGAGAGTAAACCCACCTGAATGAGAAACGTTTAGTGTATAGGTTTTATTTATACATTCATACTCAAATCTCTTGTCTTGTCGTAATTGTAATTTTTTTTTTCTCACAGCAAGGAACTGGAAGAAGAAATAACCATAGTGAAGGGAAGGCTACAGAAGCTAGGTGAGGATAAGTGATTCAGTATTCTACATAACCGTCATTTATCTAAAATTATTAGAATTTAAATTAGTTATCATCATCATACTTTTTTATCCATATTATTGTAATGTTTAACCAGCTTCTGTCTTAGTATTTGGATTTTCTAAAAAAAAATTAATTTCGTTCTTGTTTGTTTTCCAAGACAAAGAATTGACAACATTAAGGAAAGAGAATCAGAAGAACATGCTGCTGTCAGTCGCTCTGTTCGCCGTCACTGCTTTACTTTATTATGCCTTCTTCCACAGTCAAGACTCCTGACATAACACAGTGGGTTTACAGTGGAACATTTTTGCTTGCTTTCCCTCATTAAAATTAAATTCTGTCAGTCTGCCCCTGGATGGCAGCATTGCATCAACATTATTATTTGAATTCTCTTTTCTGATGTTTTTTTAAAGCAGCATTTTAGAATTTGAATATTTACACTTCTCAGGTAACACTGTTGAATAATAGATTGATGGTTGACACATCATACCTGGTATCACATGATGATCCAAGTGAACATTTGAATTGTTTTTCTGGTGAACAGACACATAATTGCTCGGACATGTTTTCTTTATATTTTCAATTTTGTGTAAAAGACTTATTATAGCATTAAAATAAAATATTTTTTCTAATATAGTACTGCTGATTTCCAAATGGATTGTGGTTTTTAGTGCACAATATTATTGTTTTGATAAGCAGCACATATGGCCATGTGCCAACTTTTAGGGAAAATGTTTCATATTTAATGGAAGCTGTGAGAAAGAAAACTGGCATTTCTTTTACACTGAGCTGCAGTATTTGAACCCAGGTTCAGTCGTGGCGCAAGATTTTTTAAAAACATTGTTTGAGCAGACATTTCACCTCAAATCTAAGAGTCTAACGTGACGTCTGACTACTTCGTCTATATAAATACTACAGGAGTGCTTTATGTCTGTGGTGAAATCACTGCATAGGTCTGAAAGCCATCGCTACCGTTCAGCTCTTGACCTGGTTCAGGTTGTCTAAGTGTGAACGAGTGATTACTGTCAACAAAAGGAAACAGGCTGCAATTATTACAGTGTGGTAAGAGAGTTCAGCCCCGCCGTGTAGATGTTTGATGGATGATGCTCAGTGTTGTATCAGTCAGTTAGCATTTTGTTAAGGAGAGAAAAACGAAAACCTACAGATTTGCTTAAACTTGCATTTTACAGAGAATATTTCACTTACATTTGAATAAAATGTTTGTTTACTTGATAATTAAATTAGACCACACCTAAACAGTAACTTACAGATTGTTTCCTTTTAAATAAAAAGGTTAGTGATTGAAAAATCTAAATGAACTATTTACAGCTTCTCATGCACAGAAAACAGTCATTTGTAATAGTAAGTGGACAGATTTATATGGACGACAGTGACAGCTCAGCAAGGAATTGTTTGTGTGCCCTCACACCTACACACACTATTATCATCGACACACTCCACATTCTCACACACACACACACACACACACACTCGTTCTCTCATTGCCAGACCAGTATAAACCAGTATAAACAAGCCCATTATGCAACGCCGGCGTTGCTGTTGTTGTATGTACAGCCAGGACAAGGATGATGAATTTTAATGTTACACTGCGTTTGACATTACCGATTAATTAGGAGTGTGTGAAATGTGAAGAGAGGACAGATCTGCGAACATGGCCCACGGAGACCATTCAAAACAAGGAGTCCTTGTGTTACTGTGTGTGTGGTCAGATGATGGGTCTCAGTGCAGGTTTGTTTTTATGACACACTGAGTGGAGTGGCCTCAGGTTTTAGGTATGAACCAACAGAAAGACTCCAAAGGTCAGATGTCACTTTAAATACTTTCATCACAGCAGGTGGAAAGTCAGAAGAAAGAAAAAAACTAGTTTTCCTTTACGTTGTTTCACGTTGTCCCTCTTTGTCCCACTGTGAGCGAATTAATCAGTTGCAACGTAATGATTCCATAAAGTATTCATGAAGCCAGTCGCCGATGAAATCATATCGTTCATTTTACCTTAATTATGAATGTAAATTACCCATTATGAAGGAACAGTTATGTAACCTCGGAAAAATTACAAACGTGTGCGTGTCAGGCTACAGTGAGTTAACCATACGTCAGTGGCCACCTGCAGCAGAGGAGCGAGACTGGAGCTGGTGGCAGGTAATGAGGCTGAATGATGGTGTTACAGAGGGTGAAGTGGCTACAGTCATACTCGGTCCTGAACCACCACACAGAAAAAAAACTCCCTTTACTCATGGAGCGAGGACGATCAAAGTTCTGCTCACCCTGCTGACCTTCGTCCAGACATCCTCTAATGATGTCATATTCTCTACACATCTGAAGAAACCTGGAGTAAAAAAAAGGTCAAAGTGAATTAAGTTCTATTTGGTTGAACAATTCCAGTACACCAATTCTAGTATCATTATCAAGCCTACTGCAATTCAGTGTTTCTTAGTCCTGTTCTGTTATGATATGAGAAATGTAATAAAACACCTGAGCATCTTCACAACTTCTGCTGATGGCCAAACTCCATCACTGTCTGCCTCAGCCAATCACCAACCTCGCACCGTCCATTGGCAGCCGCTTCATCAGCTCGAGCTCCTTTATAAAATAAACTCAGCATCATAGTCATCATCACCACCAACTCCACCATGAGATGCACAACCTCTATAAAAGGGGTCTCCAAACTTTTGTGCTCCAACTTTTACAAAATAAGCTAAGCTTATAAGCTTTCTTTGTCCTCATTGTTGGCGGAGCTAAACCGAACAACTGACCGCATTACCAGACAAGATTTCATCATAAAATGTGTTTCTACGCTAAACTGCCCTTGTGGAACATGAAGAAAATAGATATCTTTCGATAGTAGAAAACCAAATTAGAAATTAAAATTAAAATAATGACGAATAATGATAGTACTCATTCAAAAAAGTTTATATTTCAACCTCTAATAATTTCTTATTACAGACAAGATTGACATTGTTTTTAAAAGTGTATCTATGGACTTTATGATTGAATGCATTTGTAAATGTGTCTTTTGCCAATAAAATAGTAATTGTTGTTATTGTGTTCATTATGGAAGTATTCTGGGTTTTTTCAACAACTTTGTAAGGTTGGTTCTTAACTTAGTTTCAGTTTACTTTTTACTACCTTTTTACCTAAATAAAAAAAAACCTAAGTAAAAAAAATGAAGTAAAAAAACGTGAGTAAAAAAAAGTAAAAAGAAAAAGATTTTTTTTAAATAAACCAAATAAAAAGAAATTAATTGTATTGCAAATAAGTTGAAATATATCAGGATAAAGCTATAGGTAAGAACAGAAATATGTATTGATTCATCACAACTCATTTTGATTTGGAAGCTAGATCAAAATGAATGATTTTAAATAGTTATACAGCAAATAAATCAAAGAAACACTATATTAACCTGGCAGCCATTTTACTTAATATCCCTTTTTAGTAAGTAATTGTCCGTTAACATTCTATTGTCAGAAAAAAGCCAACAATACCTGGCAAAACCTGGTTTCATTTAAGTCAAAAATTGAATTTCCCTTCCCTGCTCATTTAATGTACTCGCCACCTGGGGACGGAAAATAAGAACGCACTTCGTTTAAACACTCGCTTTGTAGTAAAAAATATTTTTTTCACAAAGTTACTAAAACGTTCAAACATGTGAAAAAGTTTCATGAATTTATATCGTTATTTTATATTTTTAAATTCGCTTTTCTTCTGTCGAAAGGTATCTATTTTCTTCATTTTCCACAAGGGCAGTTTAGCGTAGGAACACATTTTATGATGAAATGTTGTCTGGTAATGCGGTCGGATGTTCGGTTTTTGCCCTCTAGTGGCTCAAACACGAAACCGCACACATCATTTGACCGCACGTTTTGGCGGGAACTTGTTTAAACCACAAGCGGGCAATTCGTGCATACAACCTATTGGCCGGACCTTGTTGTTGGCGGAGCTAAACCGAACAACCGACCGCATTACCAGACAACATTTCATCATAAAATGTGTTCCTACGCTAAACTGCCCTTGTGGAAAATGAAGAAAATAGATATCTTTCGACAGAAGAAAAGCGAATTTAAAAATATAAAATAACGATATAAATTCATGAAACTTTTTCACATGTTTGAACGTTTTAGTAACTTTGTGAAAAAAATATTTTTTACTACAAAGCGAGTGTTTAAACGAAGTGCGTTCTTATTTTCCGTCCCCAGGTGGCGAGTACACTAAATGAGCAGGGAAGGGAAATTTAATCTTTGATTTAAATGGAGAAAATGAAGAAAATAGATATCTTTTGATAGAAGAAACCAAATTAAACATTAAAATAATGACGAATAATGATAATACTGAATCAAAAAAAGCTTATGTCTCAACATTTAATAATTTCGCTAGTGTTTAATATCCGTCTAACTAAAGCTAAAGCTACTTTCGCTGACGATTGCCAAACACTTGTAGAGTGCAATCGGTTCTGCTGGCCAGTAGACGGCGATATTCTGCAGAAAATAAAATAAAAAATAAAAACTTCTCATAAAAGACAGGTAAATTTGTGCACTTAAATTATATATATTGTTGGTAAAAAAAATATATAAATAAAATAAATCAAAATAAAAAATCAAAATAATATAACATTTATTTTTTATAAAAGTTAAGACTTAAAAACTTTTTTAACACACGATGGTTTTATTTAAAGATGTAGATGATGTTCAAATCTCAGCTAAGCTCCAATAGCTCCAATAGCTTAACTGGCTGAAAACCATACTTTTATAACTTTAACAGAGTGAAACAGTGTTTTAAAAGATAAACTTTTGCTGAGCTGTAACTTATGTCACGTAAGCGACCGTCTGAGGTATGTTTCACGTGATGTTGTTTTAAGTTTCTTCTGTCGGTGAAGTACAGCGGTACGCTCACACACTGGGTGTTGCTGTCAACATCACCTAATAGGACTGTTGTTCCATGAACCACTCACACTCTAAAAATTTTTCTAAGAAACCAGAGGGAAACAATTTAATGCTTCCTCTCTGTCTAAAACACACACACACACAGATGTGTGTGGCCCATGTGATCGTTAACTAACCATAACCAGTCACATAATTCAACCCACTGTGACTGTTCTGTCACGTTCTGTACAGGAAACACGTTTTTGGGAAAATAAATAATGTAACTGTGTAGAAAGATATAGGTTTCTAAAACAAAAGGACACAAACACACAAACACACACACATGTTGAGCAGTGTTTGAACAGACTTCAGGCAGGACAACAAAGGCAAATGATAATAGTTTTTATGGCAAAGCTGCCTTTTTCTGAGTTGGTCTTTGCTTTTCTAAAGGATCAAACCTGTTTTTCTCCCTGTTTGCAGTTCCATCAACCTCCACTGTTCAGCAATAACCAAACAGCAGGTTGGGGGAGGAAAAGGGAGGAGGGGAGTTTCCCCCAACATTTCTGTGACCTCACATTTATATCGTCATGAAACAGCCAACTCAAAGTCTAACGCAGCCTGAAAAGTGTTTGATTATGACCAAAATCATAATCACAATTATTTACGTTCATGTTGAAATCTCAGTTGATGTGCACCTGTCACTGTCGTGACTCCAGCTCATCTCACATCACCACTGACTAATCAGGGCTGTCAGCTAAAAGGCAAATAATTATTTTGTGTTGGAAGGGGGGCGGGACAACCGTCTGTTTTGATTGGGTAAAAATGTAAGTAGACTTGCCGAGCGACCAATTAGGTCTGGACATTTATGTATGATTCATGATCCCTTGGGCGAGCTACTAGGAAAAGGGCAGTGAGCTGCTGGTAGTCTGCAAGCCACGTGTTGGAGACCGCTGCTATATATATATATATATATATATACCCATGTGTATATGTATAGAAAATCACTGTTGCTTGTTTCACAATGACCAACAACATCTGTCACACGACGAGAGGACCAAAAAAACATGGAGACCAAACATGTCCTGGTCTCTCAGCCTCTCACTGCAGTCCATTAGTGATCCTCCACACCTCTCACCTTTCGCCCACTTTGCAGCCCTCACAGTTTTCAAGCTCAGTGCTGACGTTCAAAGTCCACGACAAAAGCGAGTGCAACAGCCGACATTTTGCTGTTGACAAATGTACGAGTGAAACTGAACACATTTAAACAGAGGCAATAGACAGCCGGCCAATGGGAAAACAGCAGCAGGCCTGCACCTTTTATCAATTTTTATCAATTTGAATTAGATTTTTAGGATTCTAAATAAATAATGATGTTTTTGTACTGTCTATGTACTTCCTGTATATACCTTAGCCTTGAGATTCACAAAAAAATGAAAAAATATCTTTTAAAACCAACATGAACCATTCAAATGGCAGACTTTTACAGGCCTCTCTGATCAACTCTCTGTTCAAACCGGAGTAACTGCTGCAGTGTAACAGACAGGTTCAATCAGAGTAAACACATCACCGGTGACAGACAGTGGACGGACCAATCATCATCACTCCAGTGCATCTCCCTCACACACACGTGTTCACATGCACACACGTGCCTGCAGCTCCTCTGCACCTGGATTATCTCCATGTCAGGATGAAGAGACCCTGACCATCTCAACAACACTTCTTATTTCCTGCACTTCTTGCAGTCGTGAACACCATACTGTTTGTTATCAGTGCAGACAGACAGTGTGTGTAGTAACACAGGCTAAAAACTGCAACAAGAAGGAAGACACTCACCCTCTGACGTCTGGAGTTAAAATGGTTGGACATCTCACCTGTTAGAAGATGATGGAGGAAGTGAAGAGAAAATACATTTTCTGCCATCGTTACACATCAAAAATTACCTCTCTCACCACTGAAATCAGATTTGTCTAACAAAAAAAAGTTTTATTTAAAAGGATAAAGGACAAGGAAAACATTTGACCAGAGATTGACCTGCTTCCCTGTAATAACTTGGCGCCCCCGACTTTGGGAACCATTGTGTTGATTAAAGGTTAGAAGTATGAATGAATCATTAGTTACTTTATTTTGTCAATTGAGTTTTTAAAAAGTAAAATGGCTTTATTAACTGAGTCTATCAGTTAATAAAGCCATTTTACGTTTAATCACTAACTTAATGTTTGAAAAGGACCTGGCTGTTGTTACTGAGACAGCCAAGAAGGTGACAGAGAGAGGGAGAGAGAGAAGGAGAGAAAGTATTGAGGAATAAGAAAGAAGAAAATAATAAGAAAGTGAGATCAACTACAGAGGGAGAGAGACTAATTCAAATATGTCTAAGTGCAAATTGAAGCCATTTTCCAGGGCAAAGTGCTGTCTTTGAAACGTACCATTAGTCTCTTCAAACAGACCCAGCTGCACTTAACAGGAAAAGACAGAGAGAGAGAGAGAGAGAGAGAGAGAAATGAGGGAAAACACATTTCTGTCTGAATGTATTTCTTTATTTCTCTGTAGAAAATATACAGTACATCAAATACATTACGATACAAAATAGAAAAATGGCACAGTACGGACAACTTCAGACACTGAAACATAACAGGCCCGCACAATACTGCTTTGGCATTTCAAAACAAACCATGAAATAAAGTGGAAGAAATTCCATTCCTTTTCTCACTGAACTACATTCACTAGTTGTTTTTGTCTTTTTCACAAAAGTTTTTGTTTTTGTTCACAGCGTTTTCAAGATCTCATCCTAAGTTGTGCAGCGACAGTAAAGTGCAATCAGAGTTTGAATGAGTTGATGATTCCGACGGCGCTCCCCCTCTTGTGTCATCAGTTTTTAGCAGATTGTCAGTGATATCAGGATGATTCTTGTTTTTGCTCCTTTTTTATCCTTTGAACAAACACTCTCTTTTTCACACACACACACTCCTAGACTTCACTTGGAGATCTGGACCGGTAGGCACCATTGGCCTGAAAGCAGCCACAAAGAAGCATGAAAATGGAGCGCTGGATCTCCGTGTTTCTGTAGGCGTAGATGATGGGGTTGATCATGGAGTTGTATGTGGCTGGCAGCAGTGTAGCATAGGTGTACACTGGTGGATACTCCTTTTCTCCAACCAGGCAGTAGGTGGCAAAAGGAAGCCAGCTGGCACCAAATGTCCCTAAGATGATGGCCAGAGTGGACACGCCCTTCTTAGTGGCCACGTAGTGTGACGTGGCAAAAAAGTGCTGCTGGAGGGCAATCTGATGGGCGTGACGACACACGATCTTACAGATCTTGAAGTACAGCATGAGCATGAGCACAAAGATGGCAAAGAAGGAGGTGGACAGGACTGTGATGTTGCTGCGGGTCAGCGGGTGGACAATGCTGCAGGAGGCTGGCTCGTCCAGGCAGTTCCACCCCAGCACGGGCAACAAACCCAGGAAAAGAGACACGCCCCAGGTCACGACCAGCATCAGGTGTACATACTGTAGGGTCTTCTCTGAGAAGTACGTCAAGGCATTGTAGAGGGAGAGGTACCGGTCCACTGTTATTGCTAAGAGGCTGCTGATGGAGGCAGTGAAAGAGGCCACCAGGAAGCCTACAGTGATGAGGCTGATGGTCTCAGAAGAGATCACATACTGAAACACAAAGTTTAGGATCAATCCTATGCCGGCCAGCAGATCTGCTGTGGCCAGGCTGCCGATGAGCACAAACATGGGAGTCCTTAAGGTCGGAGTGTAAAAGATAATGGCTACTACGATGGCATTTTCACAAGCAATGACAGTACCTGATAAACACAGCATAATGTCCCAGGGATTGATGGGAAAACCTAACGTAGCAGTAGTGGTGGAAAACTCCAAGCTGACATTGTGCTCAGGAGACGCAGCCTCCATCCATGGGAGTGCTTCCCCGACTCCGAGACTAGCAGAAGAGTCATTTACCACCAGTGACTCATTCATGTCACCGTCTGTCGTCTCTCAATCCTAGCAGAAGGAAAAACAAAAATTGATTAAAAAAATGCAGTGAAAATAGATTGTAAAAATCTTATTTTTTACAAATTTCAGTGTTAAATAAAGAGATCATGTGGTAATTCAGTTCAGTGGGTCTGATCCGTGCCTTCATGTTAACATAGTTAGGAGCCACAGTCAAATTAAGTTTGAAAACAAGTTATACAATACTATTCTTATTAGAGTCTACATTTTAATGTAAAATTAAAATATAGTTTCCGCCCAAAAAAGTTGTGCAGTGTTCAAAACTACTGTTTTAAATGGTATAAACCAGTCCTAATGGTAAATTATGTGCCAAACAACTCATTTACACAGTTATATAAAACACCATACACTATATAAACATACAGTAGGTAATAAAATGATTAGAAATACAGCGGAGCTGTCCGTGGTGCTGAAACACTAAACCACTAGTCTGTCGTATTATTGGTTTGCATGATTATTTCTCACATTGTGTCAAGTGTAAAGTTGCCGAGTGGATTTTTTTTTACCCACCTCCGTGACAAAACGCCCGAGCTGAGATTCCCGCTGGTTTCGGAGCCTCTCGGACGACGGCAGGGAGCGCAGAGAAAGGGGAGAGGAGACGATGCCGCAGCGCTTGACCCTCTGTGGTCTCTCCACATTAAACTGTTCAGCGCAGCCCTGGCTTTGGTTGCGCTTCCCACGCATGGGGCAGACACGCAGGGCAGTGGTGGTGGTGGTGGTGGTGGTGTGAAGGATTGGCTGGGGGTCACCCCGGGGGCGGGGGGGGACGGGAAACAT